AACATTATGAGGGTAGACCACAAGAATTGGAGCTTTTGTCATCATTTCTCCACAGGTGAAAAGTGGAGCTGGAAATCCAGCTCAGAACATTCACCCGGAACATCAAAGAAAGCCAGGAATAGGCAGAAATTAGGGAGCATTTTGTAAAACCTTGGAGCTTTCTGGAGGTTGGAGGGCAGCAGAACTGTGTTTACTACAACTCCTGGGTTTGTTTGGGATGAAAGAAAAACCAGCAGCAAACAACTCAGAGTTTGGCTGCTGCTCCCTTCCCAGCCTTTTCATTCTGCCTCATCTGTGGGACTTGGGCACCCTCCAGATCCCTTTGGAGAAGAATTTCTTGTCCAGGGCTAAATTAAAAAAAAAAAAAAAAAAAAAAAAAAAAAAAAAAAAAAAAAAAAAAAAAAAAAAAAAAAAAAAAAAATCTAGTATTTAACTCATGGCATTTTTAAGGTTGGAAAAAGCCTTTAAGACCCTCATGTCCAGCCACAGTCACCACTAAACCACACCCTAAAGTGACCAATCCACAGATTTTTTTGAGCAGTTCCAGGGATTTGACTCCACCACTGCCCTGGGCAGACTGTGCCAATTCCTGACCACCCTTTCCATGATGAATTTTTTTATTAATATCCATTCAAAACCTCTCCCAGCCCAACCTCAGGTGATTTCCTTATCCTGCCTTCTGCTGGAACTCCACTGGAAGTTTGGGAACATCTTGAGATCCCTGATTTCCCTTTTCCCCCCACCTCAGAAAACCTTCTAATTTTTCTGGGTCATTTCCATGTCCTCAGGGACTGCTGCTGCATTTTGATTTTAACACTTGGGCTCACTCCAGGGTGAAATTCACAGCGAGATATTAAATGCAATCAGGGGGTGTCTATTGGAAATAGGGAAATACAAAGCTAAAGTGCAGTTTTGAACTAAAATTTGAGCAGAACTAATGGCATGAGTGCAATGCTGCTTCTAAACAAGAATTGTCAGTCCCATGGAAAATCCAGTGCTGTTTTTCCTGGCTCTTCTCAGCTGATCAGCATTCCTGGGAAGGGCTGTGATGGTGGAAGATCTTCATTTACATCGTTTATTCCATCGGAGTTATTTGTGTGATGACAAATGAGGAGCTGCCACCTCTCCCAGCTTTAATTTTGCCTTAATGTTTTTATTGTAGTACTTTCAGGACTTATCCTTAAGCTGGGCTTTACTTTCCCTGCCCCAAGACTGGCAGATTTGGCACTTTAAAGGTGAAGGGGTCCAGCAGAGTGGAATTCTGTCACTGGGAACTGGCAAACCAGGGATTTGCAATTCAGGAAATTCGTCTGGAAAACAACAGAGGAACTGAAGGACAACAAGAACCATGAGGAAACCATGAGGAATTTGGGGAATCTTGCAGAGCTTTCAAAGTGAGGGAAACCCACAGCTCTCTCCTGCCTGGTGCAGGTGATAATTCCCTGTGCTGGGGAGGACAAACTGCAGCTCCTGAGCTCACGTTGGAGTCTTGGAATCACAGAATTCCTTGGGCTGGAAAGGACCTCTGGGACCACCAAGTCCTTCTGTCCCCCAGCACACCAGGGCCACCACTGAGCGTGTCCCCAAGGGCCACCTCCAAGCCCTCCTAGGACGTACCAGGGATGGGAACTCCACCACTCCTTGATTCCACCCGAGCCAATGCTTCACAACCCTTCCCTGAGAAAATGTTCCCAAATACCCTGAGCCTGCCCTGGCCCAGCCTGAGGCCGTTCCCTCTCCTCCTGTCCCTGTTCCTGGAGCAGAGCCCGACCCCCCGGCTGTCCCCTCCTGTCAGGAGCTGTGCAGAGCCACAAGGTCCCCCCTGAGCCTCCTTTTCTCCAGGCTGAGCCCCTTCCCAGCTCCCTCAGGGATTCTCCAGCCCCTTCCCAGCTCCCTCAGGGATTCTCCAGCCCCTTCCCAGCTCCCTCAGGGATTCTCCAGCCCTTTCCCAGCTCCCTCAGCCCCTCCTGGGGCTCCAGCCCCTTCCCAGCTCTGTTCCCTTCCCTGGACATGCTCCAGCCCCTCCAAGTTCTTCTTTTCCAAAATTGCCCCCAAAATTTGAGGTGTGACCGCATGAATGCCCAGCTCTGAACCTTTTGCCTTCAGCAGGAGCAAGGTGGGACCAAAATTTTCTGGTTCTCCACCAGTAGAAGGAAAGGGAGTATTTGGTGTTTTAGAGCATCACTTTTGGAGTCAGGAGCCATGGATTTGAGGGTGTTGGAGGAGAGGCAAAGCCTCCCCGTGCCAGGACATGTGAAGGCCACAAGAGCAGCAGGGCCATGCTGGGGCCAGCACGAGCCATTCACAGTTCGTGTGTTTACCTTGCAGGCAGGCTGGGGAAGAGCTCGAAATGCATATTTTCCTCCTGAAATATTGACTCCAGTGTTCTCCTTCTCAGGGGCCTGGGGAGAAATGATGTTTCATATTTTAAAAATAAACACTGCTTTTCCAGAGGCATCAATGCAGCCCCAGAGCTCCCAGCACACCTTTGCCTCTCGCCCTCTTTTCAAAGCTTTAATGCTGCTTGTGTGCCACAAGCTCTGCTGGTGAAAAAATCCACCTGAAATGTATTTATCTTTGCTAATTAACAGCAGAATGACACAGAGCAACTTTATATTTTCCCCGCAAGAACAGCCATAGAGGCTTCATTTACGGAGGGCTCTGAATGATCCCCATTCATGGGGAGCAAGTGCTGTCTGCACCAAGAGATCCTTGTATGCAGGGCAGGAAAACAGGAGAAACCCCAGGCCAGACAGGTCCAGGGCAAAATCTCCCAAATTTCAGGATTTTATTTCACTCTGGGCCCTGACAGTCATAAATGGATGGTGGCAGTTTTATGTATTTGGGGAGCAAACTCTGTGTGTGTGAACATGGGAGGGGAATGTTGTGTTTGCACTGCCCTAAATCTGTGATTTTATAAATATATCCATGAAAGCATCCACAGAGGAAGGGAAGGGGGTGGAAGGGGCCTTAAACCCCACCCAGTGCCACCCCTGCCATGGCAGGGACCCCTCCCACTGTCCCAGGTGCTCCAGCCCCAGTGTCCAGCCTGGCCCTGGGCACTGCCAGGGATCCAGGGGCAGCCACAGCTGCTCTGGGAATTCCAGCCCAGCCCCTCGTCACCTCACAAGGAAGATATTCCATCACAATATCCCACCTAATCCTACTCTTTTTCAGTTTGAAGCCATTCCCTGTCCCTCCATCCCTTGCCCAAAGTCTTTCTCCAACTTTCCTGCAGCTCCTTCAGGCACCAGAAGGTCTCAGTGAGGTCAGCCCAAACCTTCTCCTCTCCAGGCTGAGCAATCCCAATCCTGCCATCCTTTCCTCATGGCACAGATGCTCCGTGGAGCATTTCCTCCTCCTGACTGAAAATCCCCAGATTTGTCAGCTCCAGAGCTGGCTGAAATCCTAGGACTGATGCTGTGGGAGACAGTGGGACAAATCCGTGCTGATTTTGCATGAGAACATTGCCAGATTTTGATATTTTAATTAACATTTTTAATGTTAAAGAGTTAAGAGGAGCCTGGGAGCTTCAGTGAGGACAGGGCCTTCTTTGCCCTCATCAAAGAGCCTTTCTCCCCAGGAGCTCCCAGGCTGCTGAAGAGCTTTTGGAGGAAAGAGAGAGTCTGGATAAGGGAAGAGAAAGTGTGCTTTGAGTTAAAGGTACTTTGCATGGCCCTGCACTCACACAATGCAGATTAAATGGATAAGGGATCCAAGGATGGGCTGCAGGAAAAGGTGAGCAGAACCTAATCCATGCGAGGAGCAGGGCTTTAATCAAGTGACAGCAGTGTAAAACAGTCGTTAAAAAAGAAAAAAAAAAAACAGAAAAAGATGCAGTGCTTTGTGGCAAAGCCATCATTAAATCTCTCTTTCCCTGCTACCAAATCGCCCTGCTGCTCCTCCACAAAGGACGCATCGATTTCGCCTCATTTGCAGCACCCTCAGCCTTGGTGGCCGGTTGAGGCTGTCGGGTTTTCTGGCAGGAGCTGCATCTCCCTCGTGTGTGCGGAGCTGAGCGCTGCACTGCCAGCTCAGACAACCCCCCAGCTGTCTGTCCGTCTGTCTGTCCGTCTGTCTGTCCGTGCCCAGCCTCTCCTGTCTGTCTGCTCTGGGCTCTGGAGCCCGCTCTGCTCACAGGGGCTCAGCCACACCGAGGAGCGCCTGTTCCTGCAGGAAAATTCTTCTGCATCCCGGATCGTCACCCGTGCTCCCGAACCCTCCCCTGCTCTCCTGAGCCTCTGTCCGCCGCTGCTGCTCTGAGCAAAGCCCCGGATCCCACGGGATGCTGCCCTTGGCACAGCGGGGACCGAGAGGGGACCCGTGTGCCGCCGTCCCTCCCTGGGCTCTGCAGGAGGGACACACGCCTGCCACCCCATCCCTCTGCCTGTCTGCGCCGCTGCTCTGAGCCTTCCCCCACGGCAGGGATCCCAAAGTGATCCCCAGCCCTGCCCTTGGCACAGCGGGGAGCGGGAGGGGACCCGCGTGTCGCTGTCGCCTTTCTCCGGGCTCTGGCGGGGGAAGGACGCGAGCCGGGACCCCCTTTGCTTTCCTGCGCCTGTCTCCGCCGCTGCTCTGAGCCAAGCCCCGGATCCCCAGGACGCCGTCCGCCCTTGGCACAGCGGGGACAGCGCGGGGAGCCGTGTGCCGCTGTCCCCTGGCTGTCCCCCGGCCCCGCGCAGCTCCGGCGGCCCCACCCCGGCTGCTCTCAGTGCTGCCACTGTTCCGCGCCGCGCTCCCCACCTTCCCCCGCTCCGGCGGAGCTCCCGGTGCCCTCAGCAGCAATGGGGCCATTGTGGGGGCCCCGGGGGCAGGGCAGGGCTGGGCATCGCCCCCTCCCCACCCCGGAGCAGCATCTCTTCCTGCTCCTTCTTCCTGCCCCTCTCGCCTCGCTGCCCCCCCGGCCCCGCCGTGTCAGGGGCTGGCTCGGAGCCTCCGCAGAAGGGCAGGTTAATACCCGGGGCCAGCGCTCTGCCCCGCACTCCCAGCCCGGCTCCGCCATGGCCAGGATTTGCTGTGCCCTGCTGCTCTCGCTGCTGCTGCTCCTGCACGGCCCGGGCGCCGGCGGGGCCCCTCCGCAGCCCCGCGGTGAGTGGGGACCGGGCTGGGGGGCTGCGGTTCGGGGGTCCCTCTGTGCCTCCGGCCGGGCGCTGGGCACGGGGGAGGCAATGCCCAGCAAGAGCCGGGCCAGTGCAGGAGCTGTGTCCAGCGTGTGCCCAAGGCAGCGGGACCTGGGGCTGGGGTGGCTCCTGTGGGACAGCCCGGCTGGCCCCGGGTCACCCCGTGGGGCTGGAGGAGGCCCAGGTGGGACAAGGGCTCTGCCTTCCCTCCCCTCTCCAGCTCCAGAGGGGCTGGAGCAGGACCTGGCCCGGCACCCAGGGCCACCTCCCGAGCAGGAGGTCTGGGTCGGGTTGCTGGGAACGGGACTTTCCTGGGGTTTCCTTCGTCTGTTCCTGAGCGAATTCCTGCTCTGCTTGGCTTCCCAGGTGGGCAGTAGGGCAGCCAGGAGCAGGTGAGCTGCCTGCTCTGCAGCTTGCATGGGCTCCAAACTCCATCCTGGAATGAGTGCAGCAGGGGCCGGACACCCAGGAAAGGATGGACATGCACGGCAGGGACAGACACCCAGGGAAAGACGGACACCCAGGGAAGGATGGACACCTGGGGCAGGGATGGACACCCAGGACAGGGATGGACACCCAGGACAGGGATGGACACCCAGGAAGGGATGGACACCCGGGACAGGGATGGACAC